CCACGGTTTCCTATTGTCTGATTTGCGGTTCAATTTGCATGTCATCAGAGGAAAACACTTCTTAAAATGCGACTGAATTATTGTGCTAAATTTACTATAAGCTGAATTAGCATCGGTACATTCGTATATGTTCATCCAAGTTTCGTCCTTTAATAAGGTTTGAAACTTGTTTTTGTTAATACTATTAAAATTGCGTTGACTATGTTTGTTACATTTTGTTTTATCACTGGTAAGAGATTCTTTGATATAGAAAATAGGAAAGTGGTTGTTGAATAAGTCATCAACAGATATTGCATATTGCCAGATCCATAGTGAGGACTGATGGTATACGGCAGACACAGCCTTGGTGCTGAAATGTTGGCAACACTACTCTCTGCATTACCATAAATGTGAGACAGACAGTTTACATTACAATACCGGTATGTTGTCAAATGATACCCCATGACTAAGTACTACAGACAGTCATATTATTCTATCTGATTATGAGATTGAACAGGTGCAGAAGAGGTCATGATGCACTGTTTCTACCCCATGTCCCTGTTAGCAATAAATGAGTTACCAGCTCACACCGACTTTGGTCCCTTTGGCATACTAGTACAGGAATATCATATATACTCATTCATGATAATATTGACCTACTTTTGTATCTGTGTGGAAATCAAGGAATCCCTGGCTAGGATTCGCTCCATGGGGGCCAACAGGGTGTTGAGTAATTAGATCAGACAACCCTGGGGCAAGCGATACGACTTAAGACTTTTAAATGCCATGTAGAAAGTAGGCCAATGCCTTCAAGGTCACCTTCACAGCATTAAGGTAAGGTAATCTGTACATGATGTACATGTGAAACTTAAATGCTAGAAACAAGTAAAGGATCTCTATCAGAAAGAATTTCACATGTTCATGGACTAATGGACATGGATATCTTTTCTTTGTTTATCTTACAAATTTCATTGATGTCTTATTGCACTGATTGCAAAATGTTATATTAAAAAGCATTAGCTCTGCTGATATGTGTCACATACCATACATATTCTTATTTGGTAGAGCCTAGGGAAATGGTTTCCTGTCATCTCTACTCTGCATTACTCCATCAATTTAATAACATGCAACAGTTTTTCTATACTGTTGCATGTAATTTTTGCAACCATAACACCAGGTGTTTCTGCTAGGAATCCTTTCAGATCAGTTCAACTTACTAGTACATGTATGTGAGCAGTGGATATTCTAGTCAGTGGGTTAGGATAAAGGATTATGGTAATGCGGCACCTGTGATATTCCCAGGCAGGAGATTTGGTCGTGCATTAAGACCTCGCATTTGCAAAAGGTCAGATCAATATGCTGGCACTTTCACATGATTGTACCTGGCTTGGATTCTGATGCATCAATAGAGACAGGGGCTCTGGTAGGAAATTCAGGACTTGCATAACGATTGCACATCTGATGTTTCATCTTCATCTTACTTGGTAAACCCATATGAATTACATGTACAACATGTATAGACATATGTTCTAAACTTATGGGGCTTTGGGGGTTGCAATGGGTCACCCAAAGTGGGGCAACAAGATGGTAAGATAGAGTAAAAAAGTATAAAAGAACTTGTTTAATGACTTATTCTGTTCATGAAAGTTCAAGCAGCTGTGGAGAAATTAAAAATTCACCCTGGATTTAAATGAAGTCTATACTAGTAATATGAAAGAGATTCTGCTTTGTCCAATGCTGAAAATGTATTACAGGAACTTCTTTTTAAAGTATGATCATCAACTGGTCTCACTAAATGTTATATATATGTAAGGCAAGACTCCTCTAATTACATCACGTACAAACTTCATTAAAGTTTCATTCATACCTGCATTAGATATTTTAGAGTTGTTGTAAATTTCTTGTTCTATTCATTATGGTAAATTTCTAGCTGATCCTGTCTATGCATTTTATAACTAGATGCTATTATACTATAGCTTATTACACTTATGCTATTATTACTGCTGTAGCAGGAAATGGAAGACAGGAAATGAGAAGAAGAGATAATAACCTTTTTTGAGACCCTTGACCTAACTTCCTGTCAGTGTCCCCATACATAGTGAATGGAAAACACCTACAGATAGATTTTTCACTCTACTGCATGGATAAAAACTAGATCTACTATCACTCAAAGTGTTCATACCTTCAATATTCAATTCATGCAACATTAACATGACATTGTCCATTTCAAACAGTCACGTGGCTTATGTGCTTATTCTACAGTGGTACACATACAATTCTCAGGTTCCTGATTGGTTCTTCCACAATACCCTTCATTTCCTACCAGCCTGCGGGAGGACCAATTTGACCTCCAATTCGACCTTCACTAATGTCAGTTTAGTTGTTAAACCATTTTTCGTTCACATCCTGTCATTAGTCAACTGTATTCCCATAACCAGAGAAAACAAAACTTCCGCACACTGACTCCAAGGTACTTACATCAGTTAAGTACACAACAAACGAAAAAGAAATTTAAACATCTTGCAGTAACTGGTATCTCGTATTTCACCATGATCCCAGTTCTAACAGTATAGCTTACCATATGCGGAGTTCGATTGATGGTCCTGCTCCATGGCGAGCTGAGAAGGGTGGGCGGGGCACTCTGGACCTGGGTACTGGACCGTATGGTGTTGTAATGAGGAGTGGTGAGAAAGCTGGTCACAGCAGAAGGAGGGACATCACTGTACTCCTGGTTTAAGACTGGAGACTGGGCCATGCCTGTGTCTCTGCTCGGTGTAGATTCATTGTCCATGATTGTCTCGGTGTCTGCGAAAGTTAGGATGACACGTAGTGTGTTAGGATTACACAATGGAACAATGCATGGTTGAATTGCTGTACTGTCATAAGTAGTATCAAGACATGTCTTGATGACAGTTTATTTAGTGCTGTCTGTTTCATGGCAAAAAGTTCTTCCTTCACACAGTCATTCTTTGCTAAATTATGCTCTTCTCAAAAATGTAGGGTGTTAATGCAGTCAGTGTCAGACCCACCTCACAGCACATCAGAGATACCAACAGCACTGGTGGTATGCCAGTTATGATATTCAGATTCAAAGCTGATCAAAGACCCTGTTCATACCAGACTTACATTTAGCGGTTTCAACCAATTTTTCAAAAACCGTTTTTTATTTAACCTGGTGTGAATGCAAGTTAACCGGTTTTTTAGGGGTTTAAATCCAATTTTCAAAAACCACCTCGGGAGGTGGTTTTTGAGGGGTTTTTCCACCGAAAAACCTGGTCTGAATGTTAAGGGTTTATTGAACCGGCTTTTGTGTCATAATTCCGGGGTCACGGGGTCAGCATCCTGGCCCTTGTGTGACCTCCAAACTTTTGATCCTGTTGTTTTGACCAATTTGAGTTCATTTCCACTGTTTTTCCACGGTTTCTCTTCATTTTGCAATGGAGTCAGCATACGCAACCTGGCCACCAGACGAGACGCTCCTGTTACTTATTTTTGGAGAGCAGGAGTCGCCGAATTCGAAAATGCTGTGTGGGGCTCTTCCGAAACAAAAATGTTGGAGGAGCCTGGTTTCTCGAAGATAAAGGATCAGTGCCACAGTAAGGTAAAGAACCTGAAGACGGCATACAAGAAGGATACAAGGACAACAATCGGAAGACCGAGAGGAACGGTTATTCAAACTGTCATGGGCGATTAATTGGATATTCACCGGACAGGATTTTTACAAAACCGGTTATGAAAAGTCTGGTATGAACACTAAGGGTTTTAGATGGGTTTTATTTAGCGGTTTCAACCAGTTTTTAAAAGTCTGGTATGAACGGGATCAAAGACTCGGACTGCCTATTGAGCCTGGCTTGCAATATTAACTACCAACTTGCATACAGCAACTGTTATAACGTTACAACTTACATGTAACTTCCATATGATAAGAGTAATGATAAAGTTACATCAAATGATTTGAGGACTTGTCTCGAACTTTTATCTGCTGAGGTTGCTTATAGGAAGGATTCTCTATGTGTCATGTATGCCCCCAACTCTTTATTTAGCTACATTTTTCTGACCCGCCTGCAGACCCCCTGCCCCACCCCCCGTCCCCTTTCAGGTTTCTTCCCCCTTCCCCCGAGGGGGGTCACCTCGACTCGCTATGTTTAACTTGTCATTTGCTCTATCTAAACGTTAAACTACGAAAGAGTCGAAATCCTATAACTCACCGAAATCAGCTTTTGATAACTGTAAACCTTATAAAAACGAGGGACGCAGACAGCGTCAGGTTCCTAGGAGACAACCACCAATGTTGTGTACGTCCGCCATGTTGAATCTCTAATTACCTGACAACTATTTCCCGGCATGCCCCGTTTTAAAGTAAAAACGCGGGAACTTTAGATGGTTTCTCGATAAGGGCCCGAGGCAGTGGCTTGTGGAATAAAGATATTTGCAGACGACAGCAAACTGTACAGAACCGTCCAAGACAAGACTGGGGAAGATGCTCTGCAGCAGGATCTCATCACAGTGGGGGAATGGTCTCAAGCATGGCCGCTTTGTTGCATTTCAACGTCGCCAAGTGCAAAGTATTGCACTTAGGCAGAACGAACCAGAAAAGTAGCTACAGTCTGGGGGGACAAACCATTGAAGAAACGGTGGAGGAGAAAGATCTTGGCGTAACAATTGACAACCAGCTCTCATTTCACTGCCACACAGCAAAAGCTGCTAACAAAGGAAACCAAGTCTTGGGCTTGATTAAGAGAACCTTCTACAACTTGAATAAAGACACAGTCCCCATACTCTTCAAGACCATGGTACGTCCCCACCTGGAATATGGGAATGTAATCTGGGGCCCCCACTACTCCCTCGATCAGCAGAAAGTAGAGGCAGTACAGAGAAGAGCTACAAAACTGGTTCCTGGGTTCTGGGAACTCCCCTACAGTGAAAGACTAAAAAGACTTAGACTACCGTCCTTGGGGTATAGAAGAAGAAGGGGTGATATGATTCAGGTGTTCAAGTTCCTGACTGGGCAGGAAAGAGTACAGTCAGACAGTTTCTTCGAGTTAGCTAAGGGAACAACAAGAGGCCACAACTTCAAGCTGAAGGTACCACTGGCCAAGTCAAGAAGTAGACAACATGTTTTCAGTGTGAGGGTCATCAAAGACTGGAACTCGCTGCCGCCGAGTGTAGTATCCAGTGATTCTGTCAACCAGTTCAAAACAAGATTGGATCGACACTGGGAGCACCTGAAGTACGAGGAAAGCGACTAGATCAGTCCACGACAGGCAGGAAGAAGCCTTACTCGACTGTAGACGGTATCAAGGTGTTGTGAAAATGAGTATAAACCTATTATAAATGAAATATTTGATTGTCTTGTTCATACATGGGGGGGCTGATGAAAACTATGTAGCAACTTAGTGTACTCTGCAACTGATTATGTCCGATGGCTCGTGACTGGTGGCCAAGTACACTATATGTCATATGAAAAAAGGAAAATTTACCGCCTGGTGAGTGGTAACCCCCGTCCCCCATCCCCACCTACCGCTGT